CAACCACAGCTACGAGCCGCCGCATCGGCGATAGAGGAAGAGAACGTGGTCCACTCAAACTCAATGTCCCCCTCCTTCCCCGGGACCTGGGAGAAGCTCTCCGCGGAGGTGTGACTTCAAAGTCTGTCTGACAGGGGGCTCAGCGAGACATTCCCAGCAAACCCTCACTACACGCTTGGGTCTGCCAGGTCTGACTGGCTTCCTCCCCTGCCAGCGGATCCAACTTGCGACCAGGTGGTGATCGGTTGACAGCTTCGCCCCTCTCTTCACTCGAGTGTCCGAGACACGCGGTCGAAGGTCAGATGATACGACAACAAAGTCTAGGGTGTCCTGGTGCCACGTGCATTGGTGGACACCCTTGTGTTCGAACATGGTGTTCGTGATGGACAAACTGTGAATGGCACAGAAGTCCAACAACTGAACACCGCTCGGGTTCAGATCAGGGGGGCCGTTCTTCCCAATCACCCCTCTCCAAGTGTCACTGGCATTTCCCACATGGGCGTTGAAGTCCCCCAGGAGAATAACCCTGGGCGGTGCACTGTCCAGTACCCCTCCCAAGGACTCCAAGAAGGCCAGGTACTCTGCACTGCTGTTAGGCCCGTAGGCCGTCACAACAGTGAGAGACTTGTCCCCCACCCGGGGGGGACAAATCTCTCACTGCGTGAGAGACCCCCCCATCTCAGCGTGGCGGCTGAGATGGGGGGCAATGAGTATGGCCACCCCAGCACGCAGCCTCTCCCCGCGAGGAACACCAGAAAAGTGGAGCGTCCAACCCCTCTTCTCAAGGAGTTGGGTTCCAGAGCCCAAGCTGTGTGTGGAGGTGAGGCCGACTATTTCTAGTCGGTATCGCTCAACCTCCCCCACGAGCTGGGCTCTTTCCCCCCAGTGAGGTGACGTTCCACGTCCCAAGAGCCAGATGTTGTGTGTGCGGACCGGGTCCCCGAGGTTTCCGCCTTCGACTGCTGCCCAGTCATCTCTGAACCACGTCACCACGGACCCCTCTGCAGGTGGTGGGCCCACAGGAGGGCACCAGGCGCTCGCTTGTGAGCCCCGACCCCAGGTGTGGCTCCAGGATGGGGCCCCGGCTGCGCCATGCCGGGCGACGTCACTGATATTATAGTAGTGCTGTCCTGCTGTTCATACTATATATATATATATATATATATATATATGTTGGTGTTAAACATTAACACCAACATCCAGTGTGGGTCCTTGGGCAAGACCCTTAATGCTACTGCCTAACTCATAACCATGAAGGTACAAATAAGCAATGAGATGCCGGATCAGGCGTCGCCCGGCCAAACAAGGTCTGCGTCAGGTGCTGGGGAACCAGAGCACCTTGATGAAAAGTGGGCCACTGGAACAAGGCGAAAGTGGGCGAGATCCGATAACAGGGCTCTGTTGGAATGCTACTACTCAAGTAACCCTGGCCAAAGAGGTTACATGCAGAGAATGTGGGCTGAATGGTTACTTCGAAACCCACAGTCACAGTTGACCCCGAAACAACTGGTAGCTCAATGCTCCAACATCCACAAACGGCAACTGCTATCACAGCTTGAGATTGATGAGGTACAACACATGTATGATGCCACAGTTGCCGAGGTCAGAGGGGAGATCCCACCAACTGCAACTCCCCAACCAGATATTGGGTACATAGCCCCAATGGAACCGATAACGCTGAACGTGGCAGCTGACCTGAAAGCTAAGATCATGGCTAGAATGGGCACAGGGCAAAGACACCGGCTACAGCGGTTGTGTGAAGTACCACCTAAGGATCTCATAGAAAGCGTGAATGCAGCAGTGAGGGCAACACCTACCACCACAATCACTGAAACCAATGAGCTGGTTTACACTTCAGCAGCAGTGATCCTAGAGATGCTTGGCTATAAGAGCAACCATGGGAGCCATGGACAATACCCACCATGGAAAAGACGGTTGGAGGCTAAGATCAAGGCGGCTCGGAGAGAAGTTAGTCAATTAACAGAGGCCCAGAGAGGTGCAATGAAAAGACCAGTACCCAGAAAGTACAGCCAGATGACCATACCTGAAGCACTCGAAACTGCCAAACAAAGGCTCCAAGCCCTGGCCAGCCGCCTACAGAGGTACACTAAAGAGATAGGTGAACAGGCTGTTCGCAACACAACCTGTGAAGGTGTACGCTCAGTGGCAGGGTAACAACAGGGGAGCAGACCCACCGAGGCTGGAAACTGAACAGTTCTGGAAGAACATATGGGAGAAGGATGCAGCACATAACAGAAGTGCACAATGGCTGGTGTCCCTGAGAGAGGAGCACAGCCACCTCCCAGAACAGAACTCAGTTACCATCACAGAGGCAGACATCCGAGAAAGAGTATCAGGTATGAAAAACTGGACAGCACCTGGCCCTGATATGGTCCATGCCTACTGGCTAAGGACACTCACATAACTCCATGAGCGCCTAGCAGCACAAATGAACCAGCTGCTGAGAGATGGGACTCACCCAGAATGGCTAACCGAAGGGCGAACGGTCCTGATCATGCCAACTACCGGCCAATAACTTGTCTCTCCACAACATGGAAGCTCACGTCAGGCATCATTGCGGCTAAGATAAGTGGGCACATGGAACAATTCATGAGCACAGCACAGAAGGGCATTGGTAGGGACACCAGAGGAGCCAAACACCAGCTCCTGGTTGACAGAACAGTCGCCCAAGACTGCCGGTCACGACACACCAACCTGTGCACAGCCTGGATTGATTACCAGAAAGCCTACGACTCAATGCCACACACATGGATCATGGAATGCTTGAAGTTGTACAATATCAACAGGGCTCTAAGGGACTTCGTTGCAAACTCAATGGGAATGTGGAAGACCACCCTTGAGGCAAATGGCAAGCCGCTCGCACAAGTGACCATCAAATGTGGTATCTACCAAGGAGATGCTCTGTCCCCACTACTGTTCTGCATAGGCCTCAACCCTCTAAGCCAAGTAATTGACCAGACTGGCTATGGATACCGCCTCAGGAACGGAGCAAAGATCAGTCACCTCCTCTACATGGATGACATCAAGCTGCACGCCAAGAGCGAGAGAGACATTGACTCTCTGATCCAAACAACCAGGATCTACAGCCATGACATTGGGATGTCATTCGGGCTCGAGAAATGTAGCAGGATGGTGACTCGGAGAGGCAAGGTAGTCCACACAGAAGGGATCTCATTCCCAGAGGGAACAATAGCAGACGTTAAGGATAGTTACAAGTATCTCGGTATACCACAGGCAAATGGCAACCTCGAACAGGTGACGAGGAAAGCGGCAACTGCCAAATACCTCCAGCGAGTATGGCAGGTCCTAAGAAGCCGGCTCAATGGCAAGAACAAGGCCCGGGCAATTAACAGCTACGCCCTGCCAGTGATCAGATACCCTGCAGGAATAATCAGGTGGCCAAAGGAAGAGATTCAGACCACGGATGTTAAAACTCGAAAGCTCCTTACCATGCATGGCGGGTTTCCATCCCAAATCCAGCACCCTGAGACTGTTCGTAAGCCGTAAAGAAGGAGGCCGAGGACTAGTGAGTGTGAGAGCCACTGTCCAGGACGAAACATCCAAACTCCATAACTACATCATGGAGAAGGCCAAAACGGATGACGTACTCAGTGAATGTCTCAGGCAGTGGCGAGATGAGGAGGTGCCAGAGGAGAGCCTATCATGGGAGAACAAGCCCCTACACGGCATGTACCACCGGAGCATAACAGAAGTGGCTGATCTCAAGAAGTCCTACCAATGGCTAGAAAGGGCTGGCCTACAGGACAGCACAGAGGCACTCATCATGGCTGCACAAGAACAGGCACTGAGCACCAGAGCGATAGAGGCCCAGATATACCACACCAGACAAGACCCAAGGTGTCGGTTGTGCAAAGAGGCACCTGAGACGATCCAACACATAACTGCAGGGTGCAAGATGCTGGCAAGGAAGGCCTACATGGAACGCCATAACCAAGTGGCTGGCATAGTGTACAGAAACATCTGTGCAGAGTATGGGCTGGAAACCCCACGGTCTAAGTGGGAAACTCCTCCAAAGGTGGTGGTGAATGAGCGTGCAAAGATCCTGTGGGACTTCCAGATACAGACCGACCGAATGGTAATGGCGAACCAACCTGACATTGTGGTGGTAGACAAAGGGCAGAGGACAGCCGTGGTGGTGGACGTGGCAATTCCAAGCGATGGTAACATCCGGAAAAAAGAACATGAAAAGCTTGAGAAATACCAAGGTCTCAGAAAGGAGAGGGCCTGGAGGGTAAAGGTGACAGTAGTGCCCGTGGTGATCGGTGCACTCGGGGCAGTGACTCCGAAGCTAGAAGAGTGGTTACAGCGGATCCCCGGAACAACCTCGGACATCTCGGTCCAGAAATGTGCAGTGCTAGGAACAGCAAAGATACTGCGCAGAACCCTCAAGCTCCCAGGCCTCTGGTAGAGGACCCAAGCTTAGAGAGGGATAACCGCGCGCGGAGGGCCAAAGGTGAGTGGACAATTTCATTTTTATTATATATATATATATATATATATATATATATATTACATACTGTACATACGTTTTTTTCCCTAGTGTCTAGACCCACTGCAGCACTCATCTCTCTTTAGGAGTGAATGAATGAATGATTGAATGAATATTAATGACACATTATTCTAAATTGCTCGTCAAAAACACAAACACTTGCAAGAGGAGTAGGCCATGTTTCAGTCAGGATCTCTGAGAAAAATAACTGATACTGAACTTGAGACTGTACTTTGATATTTGAATATTTTGTAATAAATGAATATATCACTAATGTTTTACTTTTGGTAAATTGGGTGTAGAATTAGATTTGGGTACTTAACTTTTACAAATTCATCACAAATCGAATTGTTGGTTCTCAACTGGTGGGTTGGTAGCAAACCGTTCTTGGGAGACATGTGTGTAACCAGTAAACCCGTGAGAGTAATGCAGTGTCTTATCCTTACTTCTGGGGGCATCATGGACGTACCTGCCAGAAGTCCCCCACTGTGGAAGGCAGGGGGCCTTGGGTGGCGATGTAGGCGGAGCTCCGGGGGTCATGGTCCATCTGCAACGACACGTTTAGAAGACCGTTTACAGAAGAAGACGACAGCAGCGCACAGTAGGAGGAGCCTCCGCCAGCTTGATTGGACATCTCTAGAAAGACCTGAAAACAGCTGTGCTCCTTGACAGAACTAGAGGATTTGGAAAAAAGAGTGGGGAACAAATGTAATATATGTGCCATATACAGTGCCTTGCGAAAGTATTCGGCCCCCTTGAACCTTTCAACATTTCGCCACATTTCAGGCTTCAAACATAAAGATATAAAAATTAAATTTTTTGTCAAGAATCAACAACAAGTGGGACACAATCGTGAAGTGGAACGACATTTATTGGATAAATTAAACTTTTTTAACAAATAAAAAACTGAAAAGTGGGGCGTGCAATATTATTCGGCCCCCTTGCGCTAATACTTTGTAGCGCCACCTTTTACTGCAATTACAGCTGCAAGTCGCTTGGGGTATGTCTCTATCAGTTTTGCACATCGAGAGACTGGAATTCTTGCCCATTCTTCCTTGCAAAACAGCTCGAGCTCAGTGAGGTTGGATGGACAGCGTTTGTGAACAGTAGTCTTCAGCTCTTTCCACAGATTCTCGATTGGATTCAGGTCTGGACTTTGACTTGGCCAAACACCTGATACGTCTATTTGTGAACCATTCCATTGTGGATTTGGCTTTATGTTTTGGATCATTGTCCTGTTGGAAGATAAATCTCCGTCCCAGTCTCAGGTCTTTTGCAGACTCCAACAGGTTTTCTTCAGAATGGTCCTGTATTGGCTCCATCCATCTTCCCATCAATTTTAGCCATCTTCCCTGTCCCTGCTGAAGAAAAGCAGGCCCAAACCATGATGCTGCCACCACCATGTTTGACAGTGGGGATGGTGTGTTCAGGGTGATGAGCTGTGTTGCTTTTACGCCAAACATATCGTTTTGCATTGTGGCCAAAAAGTTTGATTTTGGTTTCATCTGACCAGAGCACCTTCTTCCACATGTTTGGTGTGTCTCTCAGGTGGCTTGTGGCAAACTTTAAACGAGACTTTTTATGGATATCTTTGAGAAATGGCTTTCTTCTTGCCACTCTTCCATAAAGGCCAGATTTGTGCAGTGCACGGCTGATTGTTGTCCTATGGACAGACTCTCCCACCTCAGCTGTAGTTATCTGCAGTTCATCCAGAGTGATCATGGGCCTCTTGGCTGCATTTCTTATCAGTCTTCTCCTTGTTTGAGATGAAAGTTTGGAGGGACGGCCGGGTCTTGGTAGATTTGCAGTGGTCTGATACTCCTTCCATTTCAATATAATTGATTGCACAGTGCTCCTTGAGATGTTTAAAGCTTGGGAAATCTTTTTGTATCCAAATCCGGCTTTAAACTTCTCCACAACAGTATCTCGGACCTGCCTGGTGTGTTCCTTTGTCTTCATGGTTCTCTCTGCGCTTTAAATAGAACCCTGAGACTATCAAAGAGCAGGTGCATTTATACGGAGACTTGATTACACACAGGTGCATTCTATTTATCATCATCAGTCATTTAGGACAACATTGGATCATTCAAAGATCCTCACTGAACTTCTGGACTGAGTTTGCTGCACTGAAAGTAAAGGGGCCGAATAATATTGCACGCCCCACTTTTCAGTTTTTTATTTGTTAAAAAAGTTTAAATTATCCAATAAATTTTGTTCCACTTCACGATTGTGTCCCACTTGTTGTTGATTCATGACAAAAAATTAAATGTTTATATCTTTATGTTTGAAGCCTGAAAATAATGTGGCAAAATGTTGAAAGGTTCAAGGGGGCCGAATACTTTCGCAAGGCACTGTATATAACTGCTGCATCCTCCCAAGTAAACATGAGGCTGTAATTGCTTCTGTAGGTGCCTTAACAAAGAAGTAAAGAGTGTGAATATAAACGTGAGATATGTGTTTTTTCCCACTTTGTCACTACGGGGAAATGAGAGTACAGTGGTCCCTCACTGTACTTGGTTAGAAAAGTGTATAAACTGTGTGGTGAGGGATTTTACAGCATTAAAACATATTGCTGCTACTTTGTGGATTTCGCTTATTGAGGGCTATTTTTAGAACATAAAACTTATTATAAATGAAGGACCCCATACAATAATGAAAAATATTTGACGTGGTTAAATCATTTCTGAGTGCACAGTAGAAAAGTCGGACTCACGATGGGGCTGGCGTTGACGTAGTCTGAGGAGGCCTGACCGCTCTCCACCTTCAGACAGATCCTAGAGTGATCGTCTGGACACAGACAAAACATAACCTGTCATGTTCGAGCTCATCAGAGCCAAAATATCCTATTGTCAGCTTTTGTTTATATTCTAGTTCTTCAAAATCATGAAAACATAATCTCAACGTACAGTAAGTAGTATTTGACATTTTGTTGATGTTAGAATAGTTGGCATTCTATTGATATCAAAAGAGCGATAGTTTCACATTGTGGTGGAGTGCAGCTGAAAAATCTTAATTTAGCTAATTTCTCAGTTTATCCTGGAACAATCTACATGAAACAAAACCTGTAACAAAGTTCCACATCTTCTTTGTCAGCATATATCAACTATGGTCTAATTATTTTTGTTCTCTATGATCTCTCTCTGTTCTCTATCAACTATGGTCTCATTGTTAAGTCAATTTCAGTCCACATCTAAAAATCATTCTTATCTCCTCCTACTGCTCTTTATCTCATTATTTTAGGTTTGGCCAGTTGATGGAGGCATAGTCAGTTTGAGCCAGTAGTCTGGCGGCACGGTGGCTGAGTGAATAGCTCTCTTGCTTCTTGGCAAGAATATCCTTCAACCCGGGTCGGAATAGGGTCTATCTGTGTGGAGTTTGCATGTCCTCCCTGTGCCTGCGTAAGTTTCCTCTGGGTGCTCCAGTTTCTCCTACTTTTATTTTTAGACAGTATAAATGAACTGAATTCTAAATACATTAATTTACTAACTACATTAAACAAATGTTTTCTCTAAAAACAGTTCATGGCTGTACTGTTAATATCGTGTGACACAATTCTTTAGTTCTGTAAAAGCTAAAAAAAAAGAAAGCTAAAATAAATAAAAAAATATTTTGATTGTAATCAAACTTAAAATAAAATAAAGTAACAATTATGGTAAATTTGGTAGAATTTCAGTTAAAATGTATTCAGTCAGTATTTAAAAAAAGTGATTAAATATAACTTTTTTTTATTTGTCATGGTTTTTTCCAAACGTTTTTGAACTACATACTGAAGCATGGATGCGAAGACTACTTTTAAAGGACTCAATGGGTGAATAGCAGTGTATATAAGCACTTTCAATCAATCAATCAATCAAAGTTTATTTGTAGAGCGCCTTTCATACACAGGGCAACACAAAGCGCTTCACAGTCCACATCACAAATCATCACATAAAACAAACACCAGAATCACAATTAAAACATTAAAATCACACAAAAGATTAAAACACAATTATGATTATTATTATTTATTATTAATCTTTATTAAGGACACAATACAACACGGTCCATAGTTAAAAAACCAAAGAAAAAATATATACAAGAAAACAAACCAAAGAGAACATTACAGCTGCTGAACAGTATAAAGGCATAACCTCCAGTAAGTCCATAATTTGGAGGTGAACAGCAGTGAGCAGAACTCGGGGCTGACGAGAGTCTTAACAATCACATTAATAGAGTTCCTCAGACGACACATAAATCTGAACTGAACATTTCGAAGAGATGCAGAACAAGATCGAACACCACAGTAAGCAAACATCTCACTTGCGCTGCTGTGCCGAGGAACCTTCAGCAGCAGCCTCAAGGAGTTGTTATAGGCCACAGTGAGTTTCTGCAAACTGGACTTTTTAAAACTCTTCCAAAGGTAAGCAGTGTACATAGGTGAGCAGTAAGATTTAAAAAGAGTTACCTTTACCTCAGGAGAGCACATACCAAACTTACGTAGCAGCATATTTGATTGGCCATATAACTGACACAGCTGCCTGTGCATGTCCTTGTCATCAGAAAGGTCACTGGTGATGTTTAAACATTAAAATCACACAAAAGAATAAAACCATTAAAACTTTCAAAATTACACAAGAAATTTAAAAAAATAAATAAATGACAGCAGTGCATTAGAAATGGAGATAAAATCCTTCAGTTGTATGCACAGGCAAACAGAACAGTCTTTAACCTGGATTTGAACATTGACAGAGTAGACGCCTCCCTCACATTTTCAGGGAGATTGTTCCAGATCTTAGCTGCATAGATCTGAAACGCAGCCTCCCCATGTTTGGTTCTCACTCTGGGCACCAGCAGGAGGCCAATCCCTGTGCTCCTCAGAGTCCGGGCCGGTTCATATGACACCAACATGTCACTAATGTATTCTGGTGCAAGGCCATGGAGAGACTTGTACACAAGCAGAGCTGTTTTAAAATCTATTCTTTGAGCCACAGGAAGCCAGTGCAGAGACCTGAGGACCGGACTAATATGGTCATACTTCCTGGTTCCTGTCAGGACTCTAGCTGCTGCATTTTGGATGTACTGCAGCTGCTTACAGGTCTGTTTGGACAGACCTGTAAGCAGGCCATTGCAGTAGTCTAGCCTGCTGGAGACAAATGCATGGACAAGAATCTCCAAGTCTGCCCTGGACACTATATTTCTAACTTTGGCAATGTTCTTCAGATGGTAAAAAGCTGTTGATGTTATTGATTTTATGTGGCTATTGAAATTTAGGTCTGAGTCCAGTATTACCCCCAAATTTCTGACCTTGTCTGAAGGAAGTAGGGAGAGAGACTGAAGTTGACAAATGACGCCCTCTCTTTGTTTCTGGGGACCAAAGACAATGATTTCGGTTTTGTCTGCATTTAGCTGGAGGAAATTATTTTGCATCCAGTCACTGATCTGTTGGATACAGTGAAGGAGCAAATCCAGTGGTCCATGTTCTCCTGCAGTCAGTGAGACATAGATCTGAGTGTCGTCTGCGTAATTGTGGTAGGACACTTTGTTTCTTTGTATTAACTGACCTAACGGCAGCATGTAGAGATTAAATAGGAGAGGTCCCAGGATCGACCCCTGTGGTACTCCACAGGTCAGGGCCACATGATCTGAGACGCAGTCTCCAATCTCCACAAAGTACTTCCTATCCTCCAGGTAAGACCTAAACCAGTCTAGGGCTGTGCCAGTGACACCAACCCAGTCTTCTAGTCTCTGCATGAGGATCTCATGGTCGACAGTGTCGAACGCGGCACTAAGATCTAACATGACCAAAACTGTGACTTTACCTGCATCAGTGTGAAGTCGAATGTCGTTTGTTACCTTCACTAGAGCGGTCTCAGTACTGTGGTGGGGTCTAAACCCAGACTGGAACATATCAAAAGAATTATTCATTGTTAAAAATTCAGTAAGTTGTTGGGAGGCCACTTTTTCAAGAATTTTTCCAATGAATGGTAGATTCGATATGGGGCGATAATTTTGAAGTCCCGCAGGATCCAGACTGCTCTTTTTTAGGAGAGGTCTTATGACTGCTGTTTTTAGGGCCATAGGAAATGTTCCTGACGACAGAGACATGTTTACTATTTGTGTCAGTGAAGGTAACAAACTGCTCAGGACGGACTTCAGAAATTTAGAGGGCAATATATCCAGGCTACATGTGGAGGAGCTCAGACTCATGATTATCTTTTTGACAGTTTCAGTATCCACAGGTGCAAAGTGAGTTTGCTCAACAAGCTTCTCTGGCTGTTGCATTGTTATACGTGCTGTGGAGGTGATAGTGTTTTTGATTCCTTGTACTTTGTCATCGAAAAACTGTGCGAACTCATTACACCTAGATTTAGAGGAAAATTCTAGGGGCAACTTTACAGGGGGGTTCGTTAATCTACCAACTGTTGCAAACATAACACGAAAATTGTTACTGCAACCTCCAATAATGTCAGAAAAATACATTTCTCTTGTTCTACGTAGAACCCGGTTAAATTCACCCAACTCATCTTTAAAGATTTCATAATCGCCCTGGAAATTGGACTTTCGCCACTTCCGTTCGGCCCTCCGGCACTCTTGCTTCTGTGCCCTGACCGAGTCTGCCTTAGTCCATGGGGCCTTTTTCTTACTGGTAACTATTTTAACCGTCACAGGAGCAATGGAGTCCAGAACAGTCAGAACACTGGTGGTGACAGAGTTATACAATTCATCAACAGTAGAGCATGGAGTTTTCTCAAAATTTAGCATTCCCATGAACAGTTCACTTGTGTTTTCATGTATGTGTCTTCTTCTAACAATTGTAAATTCAGCTGGTGGTTTGCTAGCAAAACACATGTCAAAAAATACACAAAAATGATCTGACAAAGCAACATCAACTACATTAACATTTGATACATTAACCCCCTTTGTAATTAGCAGGTCAAGAGTGTGCCCCCTGCTGTGGGTGGGGCCACTCACGTGCTGAATGAAACCAAAGGTCTCAAATACAGAAGCCAGCTCCTTTGCATTTCTGTCATCAACATTATCAACATGTACATTAAAATCACCTGTAATAACTAAACTATCAAAATCTGTGCACACGAATGAAAGTAGTTCAGTAAAATGGTCAATAAAATCGCAACATGACTGTGGTGGCCTGTACAGGACAATGAAAAGAGTAGAAGATTGCTTTTGTTCCATTTTAAAAGAAATATACTCAAACGATGAAAAATTTCCAAGGGGCATTCTATGGGAGACAAAGTGCTCTCTAAAAACTGCAGCTATGCCTCCCCCCCTTTTGTTTTCTCGTACTTCGGATTCGAATTTAAAATTGGGTGGTGTTGCTTCTATTAGAACTGCATTTCCTGTATTTTGGTCCAGCCATGTTTCAGCCATAAGCATAAAATCAAGATCATAAGAAGTGATAAAATTATTAATTAAAAATGATTTGTTACATAGAGATCTGACATTAAGCATAGCAAGTTTAAAAATAACGTCAGAGTCGATTAATGTGGTTGATTGATTTCTACAGGGAACAGAAATTAGATTTGCAGAGTTGGACCGTCTAACTGCTGTCCTGTTTTGATTTCGTTTTTTAGAATTTAAAAACATTTTTGAGCTGGTGCGAGGAACACACACAGTCTCAATTGGCCTAAAATGTGAAAACCCTTGTTGTTCTTTAGCTCCCAGAGTCAGAAGGGAGTCAGCACAGTTCAGTGTTTGGACTGGTAATGCACTGCCAGACGGACAGGGAGCAGTGTTTGCACCGTTGTACTCACCCGGTGCTGGTGAGCAGGAGGCGGGGGAGTGCGGTG